TCGTTTGACTCAACCCGACCGGACCAGTGTTGTTATTGTGGGTTTTTCTTCTGGTGTCCATCCCCAATATTTTGAACCTTAACACATCCTTGAACGTTTAGCAATAATGCCTATCTCTGCAAATGGAATTCTACAACTTCATACACTCCAAGCTATAATTGTCTATAGCAATTATAGTTGCTTTTCACTTTTTCACTTATGCTATATGTCGGGGTGTGATAGTTTAGATGATTTCAACTATTTGAATATATTTTGCATGATTTTTTAGCCTACATAAAATGCTCAGCCAGTGCATAACAAATGTTTTTAGTCCTTGTAGGATTTAGTGAAGTTAAACCTTAAGGACCCTTTAAAATTCTGACTCAGTTTCAAAAGGAGGTTCTTCAGTGTAAAGAACATTAGACATTGGCAGACCTTTAGAAGAAGGTTCTTCATTTGGAATAACATCAGACACTGGTGGACTTCCAAAAGGGGGCTTGAAGATCTTGCATATGGTGTTCTTTGCTACGTCCACAATTGTTCTGAGAAGCTCTTGTGCAAAGTTTGCAATTTTGTTGAGTAGAATTTCTTCTGGATATGTCATCTCTGATGGAAAAGGAGAAGATGTCTTGGCTTTCCATTTCTCTGAGGGTTTTGGAGACTCGAGCCAAAGTGGCTTTTGTGACAATGCTGGAGAGTATGCTCAGGTTCTGGGAGGCCATGTTCAAAAGGGGGCAAGGAGGAAGACCTGGAAGGACACAGGGGAACTACCTCTATCACCACTTCCTGTGCAGTGAGCTTTATGCTTCCTGCTGCGTCTCTTTAAGGGTTTGAATGTCATTTCTGGCATTGCTGAGGAGTTTAGGTAAAATAAAGTTAGAAGAATTATCTTTTAAACCTATTTAAAGAATCACAGAAATATTGAAACACTGTAGCTGGACTGTTAATAATTGCGAATCACTGAAATTTAGGAGGTATGGCCTCTGGAAACTTAAGCAGGATTCAGGCTTGAAACTCTGTCCCTCATTTTATTAATTATGTTTAATGCCCACATCTGAAACAGAAAGGATATTTACGGTACAGTTTCATTTAGAGGTTATGTGAACATAATGAATAAAATAAATTTCCAGTTTCAGAAGAGGTTTGGCTTCTTTTTCTTCTAAATCCTTTGGGAATTCAAATTCCCAAAGCCTTCAAAGCAAAGCAAAAGAGAGGCTTTCTCAAAGTATTTACACTTCATCACAAACAGGTTTTTAGGTGTGAGGTGGATGGTCTGTAGGTGTCACAGTAACTCACTGCTCTCTGAGTGTCTCTTTGCTCTTCTCCACCAAAGCATCCCTCAGCTCTTCGGCAGTGATGTGCAGTGGGATTTGATTTTCCTGCTGAAGTCTAAGGAACTCCATCTTCATTCCAATCTAAAAATAAAAGGAGATATTTAATCACCACCACTCTCCGGTCCTCAGAAATCACCTGATATTTGATCTCAGTTTTGGTTTGGACGGATATGGGTCTTACTTGAGCTCTGAAGCCCAGAAGACGCCAGCAGATCTTCACAGCCACGTTGTAAATGGGTGTGTTGAACAACACCTGTCAAAGAAATAAAAAATTACTCATTGTTACTTAAGTCTATTCTCAGTTTGTCAGCTTTTAAAACTACATCAAATTCTTCAAACTGTTGAAATGCAGCAAAAACTAAGACTGTCACATAACCTGATGGGTTTGTAGAGTCCTCTGCTTGCTTCCATTGAAATGTTGCTGTTGTATCAAAGTTGGGAACAATACCTGTTAAATACTCCCCAAAACTTCCACAGATGAGCTGTTTTTAAAGTCTGATGCAGAGTTACAAATGCAGGATTTACAGGAGTTAGGAGGGTTAAGAGAATTGAATTCAGTTGACTGCAATCTACTGGCATCTAATGGTGACATTGTAACTTTAGTGGTACCTGAAAAAGGGCCAGGCGCTGCACTGCTTCAGCCTGAGCCTGTGCAGTCAGCACACACAGCCTGTGTGTCTAATATGTGAATAAAAATCAATGAAAGTTTTCCTCCCTTTTCCAATCAAAAGTTCCTAGTAGAGTTTCTGACCTTCAGCACCATGGAGCTTTTAATTTGTTTATTGTGATGCAGTGGGCCAGAGCTACACTCTGATTCACTGTTTCACATCTTGTGCTACGCGCACTGAGCGTTACTAATAGCTTTTGCTTTGGTGTATTTTGGACTTTTCAATAATAGAGCCATTGATGAAACGTTCCCAAGTGTGGGAATATTTACAGTTGGTGCTACAGAATTAGTTTATTCTCCATATTTATTCAAATATAATATACTCATGGTGGCATATTATTCAAGAGTTGCCTTCCTACTCACTGGGAAATAAAAATGGGAAGATGGTAAGATGAATATTGGGAAATGAGATAAAGGAATGTGGGTGAAAACAATGAACTGACGACATCAGTGCAGGTTTGTATATAAACACATCACAACATAGTCATATGTACTGCCTCATTGCATTATGTAATATCCTCCATGTCAATTATGTAATTTACAATCAATGACAAACCCATTTCACTATATTTTTTATGTTTTTTATTATTATTTTATAGATGGAATTACTCAGGCAGATGTCTTTAGTGCTGGGTATAGACAACAAAAACCTATCAAATGAAGTCAGATTTGGCTGTGCAACAACCACTGTTGCCAGCAGATGTCCACCATGAGTGCAATGAATGAAGCTTGGGGTAGTTGGCCAGTTTTCAACACAGTTGTAGAAAAAGGGATCAGAGCTTCATAAGCCTTGTTTTGCCATCCCTGCTGTTAATGCTTCCTGTCAGTTTGCTCTAACCTCTGTTTCTGTGCAGACCTCACCTCCAGTAAATGTGACTGTGTGTGTGTGTACACAGACTTATATGCAGCCTAGAAACCACTGCATTTCAGACAGTTTTTTTCTCTGCACTTTTAGCAACCTGTAAATAAACCTGTGTAAACTTTTTCTCAGTGTCCTATGAATGAGCTCTGCCAAATCTCTCAGGAACAGTGGTCAGATATCCAGCTAGACTTATACCAGAAGGTTTTTGGTGGCTGCTAAAAGCATCTGGTTGTGTGCCACTTGCTAAGGGAATATTTAAGCCTCTGGGGTGTCCAGATCACATGAACAATGATGTATAGCAGCAAGATGCAGCCTGGTTTTCAGATGTGAGAGATTTGTGTGTTTGGAATGTACAGTTATGAATGCAGATTGCAATGTAAATGATGTCTCGGAGGAGTGATGGACCTCCTGCTGTCAGGCCTGCAATGTGCTCCTCGGTTTGTGTTGCATCTTATTGCAACACCTGATTGTTCTGTGTTTTTAGCCCATCCATAACAGGGCTAAAACACAGAGACAACCATTCGTGCTCACACTCACACCTGGCTTATCTTGAATCACCCATGAACCTAACATGAATCCCTGCTAATAACAGAAAACCATTCACTTCTAAACTCACTCATTGATTTCTTTTATAAAGTTATAAACTTATTTAAAACCTACCAAAATAGAATTTTCAATTAAAATTAAGAACTGAACTTAAATAAAGAAACCACTACTGTTAAGAATGAAAGAAAAATACTTATTAAAAAAATGAATGAGGAATCAGGATAGACTTTTATTTTATATATAGCTTGTAGGCCAAGTGAGGAAGTAATTACATAATAGTTGATGATACAATGGCATGGCTTGGGGGTCAATAGCAGAAGTAGCAGCCTGAAGAAGGATGCCAGTTAACATCAGTCAGTGCTGGTGAATAAACACGGGCTGGTTTGTATCTCTCCCTCAAGCCTCCTACTTTACTTCTTTAGAACTACTGGCCATTTAAACAACTCCTCTGTATTTGTATCAAAGCACCCGTGGTTACGTATTTATCACTGCAATGTTATTTATTGAAGGGTCTGTGCCTTACATTATTAAGCATCTGTATAATTAAAATTGAATTGAATATTTAGTCAGTTTATATTTTACGTTAACCTATCCATCCATCCATAAATTGTTTAAGTAAAACCTGTAATTGCATCTTCAGCCAAAATGAGAAATTTAAAGAAGATAAGTAGTCATACTATCATAAACAAAACTTAATGCCAGGGTGCTGGTGTAAGGATGTGGCAGTTGGAGAATTAGGATAATTAGGATATATCAGGAAATGTGGGACATACAGAGGAAGAGGAAATTAATCAATAATGTGCATTTTATAGATTTTTGTGTTGCATTTTGATGTTGACAAAAATGCAATTTCCCCCACTTTCCAAATCATATATTTCCAACTGCACCTTTTTTTCCAGAAGAAGGGATCAGAAACAGTATCAGGATTGAAACTGCATTTTGTGTTTTTATTCATTTGTTTTTTAATCATTCATTTAAAAAAAAACAAATACGTGCGGTAAGATTGTGTGATGCTGTTTCTACATTTGCCTTGATGTTGACGTTTTTAGCATATCAGGTTTGCTATGAAATAAGCAAATAAATACACTTAACATTTAATTTTTTTAATAAATGTTAAATCAATTTTAAAGTTGAAATAATGCTATTAAAAGAGTTTTAAGGGTAAAACACGAGTGAACTGTTACAAACACAAACTCCACTGATAACCAATTAAAAATCTTTAATGGCGCTTATATATTTGACAGACATAACAAGCAACGAACACAAGCTGTAAGCGGCTTCTTATATTTCTGTGGATCTTATATTATTTGCTAGCTGTTGCTGCCCTTATGTGACAAATTATTTTTGACTGTATCACACAACAATGAGAACACTTAGGACAATAATAACAATAGGAACACACACTAGCAATAATTCTGACAGTTATAGGCCATTTCTATAGGCTTTAAGATTATCAATACAAAAATAGTTATCTCACAATGTGACTGTTTCTGAAAATGCAGCAGACCAATGCTATAAACCAGTTTCTCCTACCAGTACGAAACATTTAAAAGTACAGTACATAATACTACACACTTAAAAATGTAAAAACAAAACATTAAAAAAACCAGTATTGAGGGGGTTGTAGGATGACACTATTAAGGGTCACAGTTGCTCTCAGAAGCGGTGCTCAGTTCCTCGCACCATTTTTCGTAAGCTCTGTGCAGGATCTCATATGATGTGTTATTAAAAATTTCTGCAATAAAAAGAAGAGCAAAGCAAAATTTTTAACTATTTAGTACAAAAGACCAACTCAAACAGTTAATTCAGCAGCAAAAAATGTGAAACTTCCAGTTCCGCCTTTGTTGCAAATACATAAGCAATGACTTCTACTTCTTTCTGGAAGGAAAAAACGTGTTTTGTAGCAGTGACAAGTACATTTAAGTCAAGCAACAGGATCCGTACCTGCTTCCCCGAGACCTACAGGGAGAGGCATTCTGACCAGGCCGCCAGAATGTTTCAGCCTGTCCTGCAGAGAATTCTGTATGAGCTCCATAGTAAACTCTTGATGCCAGACAGGAAGCTCCAGGCTCACCATGCAGCTGATGATCCTCTGCTTCTCCTCTTCTGTCAATAGACCACTCTCTTTGGACACATAAACCATATAGGACATATCTATGTTCACTGCCTCACCGTGAAGCAGAGACGGGAGAACTTTCTGGACGGGGAAGAGAAAGGTGAGATGATATCATTTGCAACCTGAATGAAAATGTGAAACCCTACACTTTTAAGATATCCGTGTGTGTGTATATATAATCTCAAAAGTGTTTAAAGCTCTACATAGCGTTAATGTATATTTTGCACATACTCCATAAACTTTATCAGCAAAAGATACAAAGGGTTCAGCTGTATTTGCCATTAGTGATCATTACCATCTCTAATGCTGGACTGATAAGATGGCCAAAGTCCACAAGTCTGTCGAGGTCATCCTCCCAAAGGTTTGGGGCAAGCTCCTCCAACATAGTCATAATAGCTATGCGAGTTGCCTGTGATGCAGCCTTTAGGGTGCTGCACCCATATACACTGTTATCAATTTGGAATTTAGTGTCCAATAGCATAGAGCCATGTTTCTCGAGAAGTTCGAAGAGGCCGCCGTGCTTCATCATAGCCATCTGCAAAAAACCGACAAAAATTGCATGGAGTTATACTTCTGCTGTCGGGGTCACTCATCTTTAGTGACGTCTGGACTAGTTTCTCTGCTATAAATGGCACATGTGTGACTGTAGTACTTGACCTTTATGGCCCATGAGATTAGCACAAGTTGCTGGGGTTTTTTCAACGTACAGACTTTATCATAAATTAAATTTGCCGTACCTTTAAAATCTCTGCCAGCCCATTGGAGATATGTCGTCGGGAAACAGTCTGTATGAATGATAGATCAAGGAAGGTGGCAGCAGGTGGAATGTAGGCACCCAGCTTATTCTTGCAGTTTGCAAAGTTAACCCCTGTCTTTGCCCCTACGCTGGCATCGATGTAGGAGAGCAGTGTGGTTGGGACTCTGATGTAAGGAGTGCGCCTCCTGTAGAGTGAGGCAGCAAAGCCCACTATGTCAAGGCACACGCCTCCACCAATGGCAATGATGGGCTCTGTTCGTCGGTCAAGAGAGAAGTTGTTGACCTCATCTAAGATCTTCAGGGCCATCTCCATAGATTTGTTCTCCTCAGTGGTGGGTAGAGCCAAGATCTTGTAAGAGACATTGTTGGCCTCTAAGTATTCAGTTAGCTTGGAGCCATAGATTTGAAAGACTGCCTGGTCAACCACCACAAAGCGTCTGATTGGCTTGTTTGATTTTTTAATGTCCTCTAGCTGCTGAGGGTCATTGATGTGGCCCAGAAGGAGGGTGTCGTTGCCTGGGTCCAGCAAGCCCTGAGTTTCAGTTACCTTGTAAGTAAAGACAATGGGACTGATAACTGTCCAGGTTGTACCCTTCTCTGTGACATTTTCACAGCTGCCAGACAAGACACAAAAAAGTATTTATTATAATCACAGGACACTACGATGACCTTTGGTCTGTATTTGGGCTGAGATTAAAAAGACTGTAAGTTAATAACAGTTAACAGTAACAATTAAAGTATTTCTGAACAGAGACGTCATCTACCTGTCCATCATCTTGGTCTAACCTCACAATTATGCAAGATTAAAAACAATAAATAGCTTCTTTATTAGTCATCTGAGCCTCATTTAACAGCATTCTTTCGTATTATGTCAGGATACAAACAGTTTAAAGCACTAAAACGCTCGTCTTCAAAATGCTTGATGTTGTACTTATCAATAAAAAAAACTGTGTTATGTAATCATATGTAATGCATTATTACAGAAAAAGACTGTAGTGTTACATTTCAAACTGATGTGTGACTTAAAGCAAAGAAAAATGGGTTTTTTGAATTGCAGCCAAAAGCAGCTAACCTCTGGCTAAATTCCACTTCCTGAAAAATACCAGTGGCACTTTCTGCCATTAGAAAAGACTAAATAATGCAGAAATTATAATTTAACTCGGCAATATTTGCAAATATCAGATTACTACTATCAAACTAACTAAGTGATAATTTGCAGTGTATAATTTACTGAGAAGAGCATTAGACTGAAGAAAATGAAAGAAATTTGCAAACAAAAAGAGGTCAGTCGTAAAATACGAATAAAGGTTTATCACAGTTTTCCCTGTGATTTCTGTAAATTAGACTACGGTGTGTGTACTCACATTTTTGCAGCCGAGACACTGTCCACTCGGTCCTTATTGATCTTTTTTCCCAGTTGGCCCTTCCATGTACTTTTGACCCGCACTAAACTAAACTCAGTTGTCTTTTCTTTGGCATCTTTTTCCTCTGGTTGAACTTTTCCCATTCTTGTAGGCTGTAAGTTACAGGTGTGAACAAAGCAAGTGACAAGTTCATCCTGCCTTAGGAGCCTTTAGATATAGCAGTGTTTAGAGAATGCCCTTAGGACAAGGGAGGAGCTTTTTGAGATGCTTCACATGTCAATGCACGCATTTTGCGTAACTCTGAGGTAACACCTGCTTTTTGAATACAGTATGACATTACTTAACTGTATGTATAACAGTTTAACCACAATAAATACATACAGCAGTTGAACAGTTTTGGAATATGCACACTTTTTTGCTCCTGTTGGTGAAGGTGCAGTTTTTGTTGGGTTTTTATTTTTTTCAAACCACACTTTGAAAAACAGTCAGGTGGTAACAAGGACATTTTTCAAAACAGGTTTGACTGACTTCAAGGTTAAGTTTTAAGGCATCAAACAACACGGCACTGGCATTGAATATGTTAGACTGAGAACACTGATTAAGTATTAATGTTTTTTTCTTAATCTAATTAACAACATTGTAAAACACAACCTGACTTATTCTGTAAACAGTAATTACAGGATACACAGAAGTACAAATACAACGAGAAAAGAATCCAAAACGTTGAGATTGGAAGGATTTACAAGCTCACCAAAACCCGCTCAGTTCTAATCTTCTTCCTGTCAGGAATATTCTATGTATCTGATGGTTAAAATGGAGAAAGAAGTCCTGGAAAGAGGCATTGCTTTGCAACTTAACATGGAGTAAGAATAGCGTAAGCTCACAGCCATGTTAGATATTTTGACAATACACCAGGACAAAATGAATACAGCAAGTGCTACATGCACTTCAAGGAAATCCTTTATAAACACAACTGCTCAACAGCAAATAAGGGAACTAATATTCAGCATGTGAAACTTGACTTTCTAACCCCAACATGTTGCTACATGACAGAAATCTGTGTATTGGATTCCAAAAAAAAAAAACCTGGCACTTCCTAGTGCGATATTATTTGAGCTATATTTGAAAATTCTATGTCATAGCACTGTTGTTACGTTTTATAGTTCATGTTATTGTTGAACACTTTTAATGTCCATGTCAACCTTTCAAGCAGCAGAACAGGAAACACACAACTGAGTGAGTGAACCAAAAAAGACTGCATTTGATGTACAGTACCTTGACACATACACTAGTCAATCCTGCAACTAAAACTTCCCTACCCCCATTAAACTGAGAGGCTTGCCTAACTGTAGTCATGTAAACCCAATGGTTTCCTTGATAATAAATGGCTTGACCACTTAACTCATATTCAGAAGTTCTTTTCGACCAGTGAGATCATTTTAATTTGACTGGATCAAGTAAAACAAGGCTAAGACGTGATGGATGCTCAGTGATCCCACACAGTTGATTCTGTTGATCTGTTTGGAGCATTTTCAGTGAGAGAAACATTTTGTCACTCATCCAAGTGACTTCTCAGTCTTCAGTGAGACTGACAAAGAAAATGCTATGTCCATGAACAGATTCAACTTTTTGCTGTGATATTTCGTGTGCTTTTGGCAGGTCAAAAACTGAAGATGCTAATCCACCTGAGTCAAGCACAGAGGGTCCTAGAGATGGGGATGTTCACTGCCTATAGAGCTCTGGCCATGGATCTCCACATGGAAAAAGACTGAAAATGCAATCAAGGTGCTAAAGGTGAGTTAAAATCAGAGAATTTGATGAACTCTGAAGATGCATTGGGTCCTTTTTGGATATTAAGAATACCTTTGTGATGGGTCTCATCCTTTCCACAATATTATATTATAT